ACACCGGAATGCCACCTCCATCATCATCAACACTTGGCCTACACTCACCACTGTACCAGTCACCGTACCGCACACCTCTACACGCGCGCATCACCACCGCACACTTCGACCACCGAACCGTCGATCACCACACCACACCATCGTCAATCACTACACCACCAGTACTGAATCTAAAGTTGCAAAACACAAAATGTAAAAGTAGAGACCCTCGATTCAGCCCCAAGCATATTGATTCATTTATATTTGCTCGCCATGAGCACAAAAATGGATTAGCTTCATAAACACAGGAAAAAGAGTGAGAAATTAGGGTTTTAAAATCGTGGCGGGGTGGGGTGTAAACACAGAGGAAAGAACGGTCGCGGCGATGGTTGTGGTGGCTGTTGCTTCAGATCGATGCCACCATCACCGCGACCACCATTTTCAGCCACCACCGGTCCATCATCGCCCTCACAATTTACGACCGCCACTTCAATCGTCGTGACGACGACGAGAGAGAGAGAGAGGAGAGGTAGAGAGAGAACGGGTTTGGGGGAAATGAGTTGGCTGGAGGGAGGTAGGGTTGATTTCTAAATTAATTGAATTTAACAATATATATATTTAATAATAATATATTAATTAAAACATCTGATTTTTGAAAGGTTAAACTTCCCACCTGATTTTAGAATCTTGAACACTTAAAGTAGGAATTAGTGTAATTTCCACTTTATTAGATCACTTTAATTTTGAGCTTAACTTTAAGATAGTCTTTATATACAATTAATTACATTTGTCGGCCAATATGATAAATTAAATAATTTCCCAACATTTTCAGTATTCATTGATAGGGATGAAATACTAAATTCTTCTCTTCTATGACATGCCATGAAAATACTTAAAATTTTTATTCGTCTAGATAAGAAAATTACATAGAAGTCCAAGAGAACCTCCACATTCCGACACTCCAACGAACTAATATAATTATAGCGGTCGGCGTGAGAAAACCCACCAAATTCATTGCTTTTGGTTGCATTCCCATTTTGAGCTCCATATTCTGAGAATATATTTTGTAAAAAAGTGATTTTTTTATTTTTTTTAAGAATGTGAGATTAAAAGTAAGGATTATATTGTGGAGAATGTGTGATTTAAAATGAATTTAAAGAAAAATGAGTTTTAAAAAATGTGATCAAAAGGGCGACAAAGTAGTTTTTTTTCCTCTTTGTTTTGAAACCAAGCCCAACCTTTTTGTAATGTAATTAAAGTAATGCTTAAGGTCCATTAAGTCAAAACACAAGCCTGCCTATGTTGGACCTTCCCTTCCTTCAATATTCTCACATCGTCGGAGCCCGTCGCCACGATCTCGAACGTAAATTATCACACAGTCTTCTTTCAATTTATTGAATAAATTATAAATAATAATGCTATTTTTACTTTTTAATTTTGCAGTTAAAAGACAGAAAATTTTCTCATATATTAATTAAGTTCTATTGTTCCTCAACTTAATTTGATCCTATAATGATTTTGATAGTTGGATTGACTTATTATGTATGTTAAGAAGTATTTGTCTGGACATGGAGAAAGAAAAAAGCAAAATAAATTATAAAAAAAATAAAAAAATCAAGAGTTTATTCAACCTCGAGTTGGAGTGATGGATAAATTTTTACATGTAATACTAATAATACGAGAAAAAAACTAATAATACAAGAAAAAAATTCAGTAAAACTTGTAAGAAGATTAATAGAAAATGATTAGTTAAGGTAAAGCAAAAATGTTAGCTGATTTATAGATGCTTTACAAACACTTGAACTTGGTAGAGGTGACCAAAAAGGTCAAGCTTGAATTAATCCATGGGCTTTTATATATATTTTTTAAAATTGTACAATGTTTATATATATTGTATTCATCTTCTACAAAGCGGTGCAAAGTTTTGAAAGATAATGTAGAAGGCCGCCTGCGCATTGAGTGTTCCTCCACTTGATATATAAGCTACTATCACAAACACGTAAGGAAAGTCGAGTTGAAGTATCAAAATAATAAGATTCCAAACTCCACGAATAAAGTTTGCTTTAGCTCACTTGATGGAACACGTGATGACTCAAAGGTATTTGGAGATGTTAAAAGTTTATCACGTGACATCAAGAATTATGAGTTCTTGTTTGACATGGTGTAATATATAGTCTACTATTAACATAGTAAGATAAATATTGTAAAGTGAGGGTATTATTATTGATGTTGCTATTAGTCATTTGAAAGCACTCATTTCCTTTTTTTTTTTATGAAAGCAATGGAGAAATTGGATTTGATTTTGACATGATTATTACTCCTCTAATGAAATTAAACTTACAATTCATAAAAAGTGTATTATTCATAGAAAGATGCAATCTGACTTAAATGTTGAAATATCATATGCCCTTGTCTGGTCCCCTTATTTTTAAAATATATTTTTCTATCTTATTTTCAATCATACATTTTTTAATAAAATAATATGATTTTGCTATGTGACACCCGATGTACAGCCCCCCTCACAATAAGGGCCCGCAATTTTTTTAATGGTCGTGGGCCCTCCTTCTATTGTGAGGGGGTGTACACCTAGGTGTCAACCCCAATGTACAAATAGTAAAACCCAAAATAATATTATACGCAACTCTTAATTTTTTTAACCACACATTCTTTATCAAAAGCATTTTGGACAAAAAATATGTCTTATACAAGTTCTAAATTGAAGAATCTTCGTTGTAATATGTGGCTTTTATAATTCATTTGATATTGGTTATATATATATAGTTCATCCAGCTCTTTCTTGTTTAAATGTGGGTTTGAACAAAAAAAATGTGTAGATACTTTTGGATTTCAATTTAGTTTTAAAAATTACACTCAGCAAATATGATTATTTGAAGTGTTCCTGTGTGATAAGCTTGATTATGATATTGATGGTAAAAGTTATTTTGCAAGATGGTTACAAAAAGAGATGAAAAAGGCAATCGAGGTGTTAGACTATTTTAAAGATGAAGGATTATTGTTTTGAAAATATGGGGATCACTTATAGAATACTATTGGTTATATCAGGTACAATTGCCTCTTTAGAGAAAAGTATCTCAAAGTTCAAATTGATAAAAGTTTTATTTTTGATCAACAATATCACAAGAGAGACACATTGGTGATTGTGTCTATTGAAAAACGAGTGCTAGAATATATTGATTATAATAGTTTAATTGTTAATTTTTCTTCTCAAAATGTTATATTTAGAGGGTGTTTGATGGAGATTAAAATTAGATTTTTAGTGGATTGTGATAGAAGTTTTTGAAATGTGTGGTTGAAAATATGTGGGATCCATGAAAGATGTGGTTAATATTGATTGTTTGACTTTGACTTAGATTAAAATCAGATTTTAATCCAAGCCAAACATGCCCTTAAAGTGAACTTCCGTAAGTTTCAAATTATTATTATTATTGAATTATAAGTAGATAAAAGCCAGAGATCGATAAATAAGTAGTACTTGTTGATCTTTCAAAATGTATGGATAAAATTGATTTGAGTGTTTATAAAAAGTTTATTAATATGAGCCAGAAATAGGCTAAATATTTAGAAAAACATAACTTGGTAATTTTTTTTCCCGTTCAAATACATTAAACTTGTTAATAATAAGTTCTACATTTATAAAAACAAAATGAAATTTTTTTAAAAGTTCTAAGTTTTCCACATTAAGTTTTTAACGTTGGGGCTTTTTTTGCAAAAGGGCGTGAGTTATTTAATCTAATAGAAAAAAAAATAAATAAATAAAAAATCTAAGCTTACCATGAAATACTAAAATCTTAAAAACGGCTAAAATGATTCATATTTCCATGTGGACTACATAATTCTCCCATGTGAAGAAAATTCGTCTCAAAATATTATAGATTTGGATTCCTCTATGTTGGGCCAACAATATGATACAATTCACTTTATTATCAGCGCTAACCAGTTGTTGGATCCGCTTCATATAGTCATGACCATATGTGGCCTTCAGTTGAACTCTCCTTTGCTTCTTGCTCAAAGGAATGAACTCATCCGATGTAGGTTCGCCATGTGAAGAGCCTTGTAGTTCCCGTTGACATTAGAAAATTAGCATCAAATAATTGTTGAATTCATACAAAAATATTGAGAATTTAGTCATATTTGAAAACATTCAATTGTTCATTCCATAAAGTCCCATTTTTCAAAAGACTTGAGTAGTTTTGTTTATACAATGTAATGGGATCTTATTGTAAAAGAGAATTCCAAAATATCATATTAAAAACCCTAATCTAAAATAGTAATTGAAATACCACCATAAGCAAAATTTTGATTAAAGGGAAAAAAGTAATCTAAAATTACCATAAAATACTAAAATCTCAAAAACTACTAAAGGATTCGTATATTTATTCCACATGTGGGCTACAATTACATCAAGAATTGTAAAATAATTACGAGCTACACAGGAGTCTTCATGAAGGCCTGCGGTGTCTTCAAATTCTCATCAACGATAGTAGTCATCGTGCATGGAATGATCCTTATGCTCTCTAGACCTTCTAAACTTTCTCATAGCAACATTCCTGAAATATATGGCATTTTGAGCTTGTGAGCAGGACCTTTGCATTCTAATCCCACTATGACTATTTCTTGACTCCATCATTTCTTTGAGGGGCTGCCTTTTCTTAGCTCCTGGTTCAGGCCTTTGTTTTGGAGCACTTTGAGACCTCAGCTTAGCCTTGAATGATTGTGTGTTCACCATATAATTTGGATTATTTGCATTCCTATAGTAGCCTTCTAAACAGGCACTCTTTGCTGGTGTGACAGGTACATAATTGCATCCACGGGAACTTGTAAATCTTGGAGTGCTATGAGCTGTGGAGAAACGGCATTCGTCACCGGTTAGGCCCCATTCGTAGTCCTGGAAATTCTGGGAATTGGGTATCATTATACGTGCTCGAATCCCAGTCGGGAGTGGAGAGGGTGATGCTTGGCCAAACGAGTCATTTCCAGCATCTGAAATCAATGAGTTTGTTCTTCTGGATCTTGATTTGGGCCTGCCTGTATCAACCTCCACAATTTTGGGGCTTTCATCAAATGCAACTTTGGCACTCTCAAATGATGTAGAAAGTCTTCTGCTATGGATTGACATTGACTGCTCACTCCTCTCATCTTCCTGCAAAAGCAATTAAACATCTATACTATGGACGGGAACTTCAAAAAACTAGCATTTTCGTTGTATCACATGTATGGAACTAACCTCAGATTTGCAGGCATGAAATTCATGCTGAAAACTGGCATTAGTGTTGACAAATCCTCGACTTTTTTGGGCACGAATACTGGCTTGTACTCTTATAAGAGCTTGCATGCTATGAAGCGTAGCAGCAGCTTGTTTACGCACAAAATATCCTCTCACCACTGCTTGAAGCTTCACTAATCCTTTCAATGCCCTCAAAGCTTTTCTTGCCTGTTTTCCCAGTTCCAACCCCAAATTCATAAGTAAAATAGACAAAAATAGAAATGCTGTAATCTAATGCTAGAAGTTCGCCAAAATCATGTGAGACGAGGGGGCTTTATGTTGGAGACAAGGCTTCTACTGTACTTGACTTACAAGCTCGTGTACTAGCTAGTACTCGCCCCTTTTTCTAAAGGGGCTTCCAAATCCAAATTCAAGATAGGATTAGTTTACTTACCAAAAACCCACGGAAGATTGTCTGAATCTTGACAGCAGCCCACTTTTCCCGGCAATCTCGAAACATTGTACCTCTACCATGACTGGTGAGCCTAACCACTGCAAACGCTGCCTGTGCGGCGGCGACGGCAGCCACGGCTATTGCATGCTTACTCTGCTCCGTCTCTGACTCACCGTAGAAAGATCTCAACCATGCAGCCTCGGCAGGTGTAATATTTGGTGGTATGGTCGTCGGATTGCGACACAATCCGATGGTGTCCCTCCCGGAAATCCACTGGTACTTAATTTCCCGGCCACCGTAACTTGAATTTTCCATTTTGTTCTTCTCTTTCTTTGTTATTCCAAACCCAAAAAGACCCTTCAACCACCTTGTTTTTCTCCCCATTTTCACTTGATTTCAAGAATGAAAAAGAATGGGGTGGCAAGAGGGTATTTCTAGAAAAACTTTAGGCGGGCTTTCAAACTTAGGGCATACACATTGGTCCAAAACTCTCTATACAGCTAGAAATAGAATCTAGGCTCTTTCTATTTTGTAGTAAAGCTGCCCTAGGAAAAGGAAAGAACACTAGAAAACGTAAATTATGAACTTAAAAAGTGAATCTCGTTCTATTCGCAGCATATAATTACAGCTTAAAAGTTTCTCTCTTTCTTACTGCAGAAATTTGTCATACAAAAGTAAAATATTAAGGGTAAGGATGCAACGTCGAAAAAAGTAGCTTGTGGCAACCCCTTTTTACATGTGAACAGTGGTTTAGAACTGGAGATTTTCAAAAGTTGAAAACATCTTTAAAAAAAAAAAATGAAATGTTAGCATCATTCTTCCACTTTCAAAAAAAATAAAATAAAACGTGACAGACCTCGTGACCCTTCTGCATTATAAGACAAAAAAGTAAGGCAAAGAACTGCAGAAAGCAACATATAAGGTAAAACCTAAAAATATTAGTTTAATTTATTCTTTCTGCTTCTCAAATAAAAGAATCTTTATTTTGCCAATCGCTCCCTTCTTTGTTGGGCAATTTTCGTTGAGACTCCGTTGCGAATTTAAGGGCAGAATTTTGGTGCTCATATTCCATATAAACTGTAATTACTATATAGCTTGAGAACATGGAAGAATTCAGTATATTTTTGCAGATGGTGTACATACAACCATGCACTGGAATTGGTTTTGTGAAACTCACGATGGCTATTTCATGTTTGTTACTAACGCAGCTAGAAGACACTAGCGATAATATCAAGAAAATTATAGAAATCTCTCAATAGTATTAAATTAACCTCAAGCAAAAAGTATTCTCATGTGGAACTTTGATTATTTAAAAATTGACTTCCAACTTTTGTTTTCATCCCCCATCAAATCCAATCCATATAGCTCGGGAATGAGCAGAGATAATAGGTTTATGTCCATATAGGAATCGTCATCCAACCATTGTCTAACTGCCACGTCCATCTTCTCCAATCCACGATCCAATGGCCTTTATACCAGAAAGCCTGAAATTCTAACTGTGGCCACATATCAGTCCCACCATTTGTCCTGCAGCACCTCATATTGCACCCAATAACACCTGCAACTATGTCACCGTCGTGGTCAATTCCTGGGTTAATAGATGCGGCTGTCTACGTAGATGTGTCGTTTACACCTATGCTGAATATGTTGGGACTCTTTGAATCCACATGTTTTAAAAAATAGGAAGAGATTAATGGAGCAATATGAAGTATCGATCGTTCACCAAATAAGAACAAGATTTAGCCTCTGTTTGGTTATGATTACAATCCAATTAAAATCCAAGTTAAAGTCAAATAATCAATATTAACCACATATTTCATGGGTCACATAACTTTTCAACCACACATTTTAAGAACTTCTATCACAATCTACTAAAAAATCCAATTTTAATCTACACCAAACACCTTCTTAAAGTAAAGAAAAGAAAAAATTGGCAGATAAACCGATATTTTATTAAACAACTAATGGAGAGAAAATACAATTTCAACAATTTCTGTTCTAAAAAATTGAATGAAAAGTCTATTATTTATAGGGAAGATGTTCAAACCCAAGATAGAAACAAGATAAAAACAAATCACGTGAAATAAATGAAACAATATTTTCCCAATAAAGGAAAAAGTGTTATCAATAGGATATAAAACACCTAAGAAGGAATTCTACTCGTCTATGTTTGCTCAAGGGTAATTATATTATATGTATTTCACTAATAAAAAACATATAAATGATTTTATGCTCTATAAGGATTTTGTGATAAGGAAATTACGTTAAACGAACAAAAAATTGTTGAGGTTCACTAAAAATTAAAATCAAGAAAGAAAAGGAATGAAAGAAAAGTAACTGTATTTGAGGGACTAGGTATGATATGGTAACGCCACGAGGATTAATAATACTGAATACATGCACACGAAGACCGAAGTAGAGAGCAAGCACGACGGCTGGAGGCAGAGTGAAAAAGGAAAGGAAATGCAGGGTTAAGGAACTTGCCAAAAAGAGTTGAGGGGCTTCTATTGTAAATTTCTTACCATACATCAATTGAAGGTAAACGTGGATGGAGAAAGAAAAAACAGCAGCCAATAAAGCAAATTCGTGCGCTTCTTCTATTTTTGATACTTCGTGAATGTTAGCGATATAATCTATGCTAATTCATTTAATATTGCGTTGAATTTTATAGTATTGTTTACTTTTACTTGCTCAATGTTATTGAATGCAAGTCCCTAGCTCATGAAAATTTTGTGAGACACAAAACATGTTCGAATATATAAATGGTTAGATCTTATTTTGAGGAACTATGGTTACAAGCATCCGTATTATCCCCCACATGTTGGATGATGAGGTCTGATGCCTCAATTCATTCGCCACGTGGGGGGACGCTTCAGTTCATTTGCAGAGCGGCAGATGTTAAGGTCTGCACTCTGTATCACCTCGTTACACTCCTATCGAAGCCCGAATTGACGAAGAGAATGGATTGACAGTTAATCACGAAAGTCCGAAGTGACAAAGTGGACCTCAACATGATGAGGTGGCATGGGCGCGACTACAATTTCTGCCATAAACCACAACACTTCATCCCAATATGATAGGAATTCTTTTATTCAAAGATCTACTGAAAATCAAATCCTCAGACTGATTGATGGGACGTTTGTACAGCAGATGCCAAAATGTCAAGTCAAACATTACTATGCCAGGAAGCATTAAATATCTGCCTACCTATAGAATGATTGATTGATTGATGCCTATGAAAGAACAAGACGGCCAGGATATGAAGCCACGTGACCCACATCCAACGATTCCTTTCTCACCCCTCTTACTATAAATACCAACACTTGCACCATTACAAATGATCTTTTTGGAAGGTAACTCTAGCCTTTTTACCCTTTTTCTACATATAATCATATTCATGTTCCAACAAATCACCATCATCGGAAAATCTCGACTTTGGTTTACCATCTTACTGACTTGACCGTTGGAGTGCTCGCGGACGCTTCCACCCTCATTGGAAAAGGTCATGAGTGACTAACGATGTGTTGCAAACCTGTAGGAAAAGGCCAAAGTGGAGTTACATCTTGTTGGCCACGTGTCAAGATCATTTTCCGAGGTCAACAATAGTGATGGAAGTGGTGGGATGTGGGTCATCTGGTGGTATTTTACAAGTGATGAAAAAAATCATGCTAATACTAATAATAATAACAGTGCTAGAGGTAAAAAAGTGGATGGTGGTGTGCTTCCAGTGTTTATTAAGGACAAGACTGATTCGACGTGAAATAAAGATAGAGTCGATAATTCAAGTCAAGTATTGGCAGCATTGAATGCAGTGTAGTCGAGGGAAAATAGAAAATGGGTAAAATAAAGGTACAAGATGAAGTGTAGGGGAAACTACCGAATGATAATTGTGCGCCAATGGAAGTTGACGATAACGGGGAATGGGGAATCAGTTATTGAGAAGAATAGTGTTGGTGGGAGCAAATGCCCTTACTTGAATCTAATCTAAGGAGGTCGATGTCCATTCAAAAGGGAACTGATATAAAGATGTCTCTAATGCTACTTGCTTGGCAAGAACAACTTTTTCTATTGTAATATTTTGGGCGAATTTGGTCACGAAGGATAAAACTCTGCTGATTTTAGTTCCACCGCACAGGATAAAAGTATGCATGGGAATGAAATAGAGGAAGTGATTGAGGGGATGCTTTTGGTTCCACGAGTTGAGGATCACATGCAGCACAAGGAAAAAAACAAAGGACATCATAATAATTGTAGAAAACAATAAATAGGTGGTCTAGTAGCAATATTTCATCACAATGTGATCATAAGTTTGGTAGAACTTGTGAGTTATATTTTTCAGATTAGTTAATTTTTATATTTTTCTAAACATTTTCTCATTAATGTTGGGTTATTTTCTAGAACATTAATAAAATGTTCTATAACTCCTCTTCATATTTCGAAAAAAAGGCCGTCTTCGATATAATGTCTCCTTATTACTCTCAATATTGCTATGTAATTTATAGTATTGTTTACTTTTCCTTGCACAAGGGTTGTGCATTTTTTGTGTACAAAAATATTTGAATCTTTTTTTGAGCTCTGAAGATATCCACTAGCATTTGGTAAAATTAATCTAATCTGTAAGAAAATTAAAGATAGATGGTAACTAATAATAAGTTGGCAAAAATGCAGTCACCTTCATCTTCGGTGAAGCAAAAAGGAGAAATAAAGCAACATAATATAGTCTTAACAAGAATGCCAAATCCATGACTATGGCAGCAAGTAATGCAACTGGTTTTGTGATGCTTGAGTATGTCCAAAAGGGATGAAATCTGTAGTGTAAGAGAAACATATTTGGCTCTCAAATTCGTAAGTACGTCGATTCTGCACCAACCTCGAGAAAGTACTTCTCCATGAATGTACAGTATTTTGAATAAAAAAATTTATTTTGAATGCATCGTTGGGGTGAGTTAGAGGGATTTAGGACTGTAGGGCATGTTTAACATTGAATATGACGAGTACATGTTGAACATGATAGACAATGTAATATGAACAAGGGATTTTTGTTTCACTTTTCTTTGAGCTTTCTTGATAAATATAAAAGAATTCTCGAAAATGATCTAATGAAGACCAAATCCACCTCTGCTTTGCTCATTATACTATTAATAGATGAGGTGGCCTGAGAATTCTCAGTTTGTTTAATGGATCATTTTTCTCTATAAATTGACAGCCTCTATGGTGGGATATTTTTCATTTGTTTATATGAAAGTTCTTTTTGAGATTGTAATTGTCGAAGGGAAATCACAAACCCTTTTCTTGCTAAAAGCAGCAGCAACAGCAGCATCGAAGTAAAACAGCTACAATCAGTAGCAATACTGTACAAGGACAAATTTGAGAAATTATTTGCTTGTTCTGGTGGATTTAATTACTTAATTGTTTACTTATAAGTAATACCAAACGTGTTACAGTCAAATCATATAGGTATAGTTTATAATTTGATTCTGTTTTTGTACACAGTGCATCTAATTATTCAAATCCATTGAAACAAAGAGGCACGTTAGAGTTCAAACAAGGGCATAAAGCCTGCTTCCCTTGTTCAAAATCCTCGAGAAACATAGATTCAGTTTTGGCTTTCCAGGCACAAAAATTAGAGCTATAGACAATCTTAAAACGTGTTACTAGTAATCATTGAACTGAACAAAAGAGCCATGATGGTGGGAACAGACATTTACCGAAAAAAAAAAAAATTGAACTTGAAGCGTTACCATCAAAAATTTAGGTCCCAATAAATTTGTTTTCTCCTCAGATTATCGACAGTAAGAGTAGCTACTTTGCAGCATTTCACACCAAGACACTGATTTCTTGAGGACTTTACTATCCTAACACGTTCTAATAATTATAAGCATATCCATAGCAAAGATAAACAAAACATGTCACTATAACCATAATCACAGACACGTTTGCCTTCACAGCATCCAACATATTGCAGCAACTATACAATTGATTAGGAATGTAAAAAGTCATTCACTTAAATTATTCCATTTTCCAAAATATATTGTACATCTTTTTTACTGGTGTGCGAATATTATATGTACACTAAACCACTATTATGTTACAGTTCACTACTTCCAAACCTTTATGGCTCCATCTCTACTGCCTGATATCAGAAGTCGCTGGTTCAATTTGACAGAAGCCAAAGAGAGGATAGAATCATGGTGACAACCAGCAGAATCGGTGGCTGCAGCTGCAAGAATTGCCTTTTTAGTTAAGCTGGTAGCCAGAGGTCGTCTTTTTGCTTCCTGTTTGTTCAAAGAGGGTCTTAAATTATCAGTCCAGTAATCTTCACTATAACAAACAATCACAGAATATCATATAAGGATTTTCATCATCCCATATTAAAATTTATAAGAAAAGCATTCATGCTAAGTGAATGGAGGAACTTATCTCAAATGAAAAGGTCAAAGAAGCAAAAGAAATCTAGCTTAAAACTTGGAAGGACGTTTGAAGTTTCATCATCTTAATTATGCAATATTTTTAAAACATATTCGAAATTTAAGTTATCTATGTAAAAGATAGACATCTAAGGCCTCGGCAAGGCAGCTATGAAAGAACTGCCTGACCAGATGCAAAACATAATTTCCTCGAATTTTCGAAACAGTAGTTCTTATGTTGAAAACTAAAAAAATTATCAATTGTTTTCTTAGTAAAAGAACATCATTCTAGATTAAAATTAGAACGAGGACAAGATTCCGACCACGATTTTCATAGTGACAAATTCATTTCATTGATAAGTGCCAGAGCTACTTGAGACATTTGAAATAATTAGTGCTTAAAAGAAAATTTTGATATTAAAAAATAGTGCAATAGAGCTCTAGTTAAAATTGTAGGAAAATAATAATAAAATTACTCTGTATGTTTTATACAACACAAATATTAATAAAACAAAATGGACAATTCAGAACAATTGAATTTGACAAAATAAACTCAAGCAAAAGCAAAATCTTTTATTTGAACATTGCAAGAATCGTACTCTTTTTTTAAATACCAATTAGTGCAAACGGACTATCGGCAATAATCTCAGAAGGTAGAACGAGCACTTCTCATATAGTAATACAAATTACGAGAACAAAACCAAATTATATTTAAACTCTTTCTGAATGGAACTCAAAAAGATTGCAACTTTGTAGGCTAGAATGCTGGGGAAAGAAATGGACAGAATTGAATGAATATTCAGCATAACTGGGGTCCTATGCATAGATGTTGAGATTGTTTCAAAAAGCATGTCTATATATGACAGGTCTAAATGTAGAAAACCTTTTGTCCAAATAGGCACACATTTGTCCGGAATACCATACCTTTTCACAGACACTTGTCCAAAAAGAGGACTGTCAGAAAAAAAAATATGTGTGCATGCGCTCTTAAACACAAAAGTACGTCCAAATAGTTTAATCACAGTTCTGCCACATTTTGGCACTTGGTTGATATAATTCATCGAAGACAGACATTCCAGGACCAAGCTAAGACCAACTCTGTTTGTCTCTCCTCTGAGCAAAGTAGATTCACATCAATCTATTGGCTTGCGTTAAGTTGGGCTCCCCACAAACAAGCCTAGGCTTATCGCCTAATGTTTTTTCTATTACAATGACCATCCAACTACAAAGCTTTTATCACCTGAACTTAAATGTAAGGGCACAGGTAGTGACAAACCAAAGCACCCCATCAACACATTTGGTGCCCCTTGGAGACAAAACCCAATCGCCAAATTAAATGGTTATAAAATAATTATACACCTTTCATCTTCGGATGTGGGATATCTTGTCATACTCCAATTGGTTTATCAGAAGCTATAGGAGCCATTTGAAGTATAACTTGCTCTAACTCATGCTGCATGCAGCACTTCTCTATAATAGGAATAACTACAACATTGTAGGGCAATCCTATTGCAAATAGGATAAGAATTATTTATTGTTGTAGTAAGATTTTATTTCTCGTTCAAATTAGGACTTATTCTTTTAGGTTTTGATGGTTTATTATTTTAGGTTTTAATTACTTATCTTTCTTAGTGGATTAGAGAATTAATTGACCTATATAAACAAAAGCTTCTTTTTTTTTTTTTAAATCAAAACACCAACACGACCTTAGTGGTTTTCAGACGCAACCAAAGAATGTTGATGGGATGGGGGTTTGGATTCCCCAATCGTATATATAAAAACAAAGTCCACGGGGACAAAAGGTTGGGGGCGTAAACCTGACCTTCCAAAAGCAATAAGATGCAACATATGAAGAGATGTAATAAGATGGGAAGTATTACTGCCAATACATAGCAAGCAAATGTGAAATAAACTAACATTCTCTAATGCTAGACTTCCAATATCACCAATTCATTGCAATCAAATTATTTTCTATAAATTTTTGTATTTTTCAACTTTCTTGTTTCAAAAATTTTAATTCCACGTCCACACAAAAATTGATATTTTTACCTGACCTAATGACTAAGGACGGTACTAGGTAATAGTGGAGTCCGATCCACCAACGATGAACGGAGGTTCGAAAACATTGAGCACCAACTTATTGGGCTCGAAATAAATCTTCATAATGTCAGCAAACCATAGCTGCATTCATTTTTGAAGTTAGAAGCAAACCCTAGAGGCAACAATCAGCTTCGACAGGTCACAGTAACATCCTAGCAACTCAGATTCCAGCAAATTTCTGTCGGACAGTGAACAATTGCAACAAGAGGAAGAACGTGCAACGCAGAATCATAGGGCAAATCATGAAGGTGTCAAAGGTAAAGTTTATCAAATTGAGGGAAAAAAAAAGCTTCGTTGACCTTTTTTACAATCCTAGTGCTGACGAATTGGATAAATGCGAGGAAATTATAGATGGTATTGATCGGAGTCCCCCTCCCAGTTCTTTTGTATTGAAGAAGGCATCATCAACATTATACCACAAGATGAAAATCACGATGAATTGAAAATAGCAATAGTGGCCTCTAAGAGTGGACTAAAGGATGAAAATTTGAAATATGCTTGTTTATGAAAGAATATCACATAGGAAGTGTTTGTAAACAAAATAAAGTGAGCAAGGTAACACCCAACTTAGACTTCAAACAATGTAATAAAGAAATTTGATGACATTTATCAAGCACATCCAGAGATAGAGATCCCAATGGCAAAAATTTTTGAGTTACTCCTGATTGATTGATTGATTTTCTCTTCTCCCGCCAAACTCGAGGACGAATTTTCTTCAAGTGGGAGAGAATGATGTGGGGTAGTCCTATTACAAATAAGATAGGAATTATTAATTGTTGTGGGATTTTATTTCTTTATATTAGGAATTTTTATTCTTTCAGATTTTTTATTTCTTATTCTTTTCGGTTTTGATTACTTTTTTTTCTTAAGCTATTAGGATTAGGGAATTAATTGACCTATATAAACAAAAGATTTTGTACACTTTTCAATCACTAATTCCTTACAATCAAATTATTCTCTATAAATGTTCAACTCTTTCAACTTTTTTGTCGTTTCAACAATTTTTATTCCCCTTCCGCACCAAGAACATTGAACAGAACAATAATTTATACGCTCTATCTGAGAACGGAACTCAAAGAGATTTGAAATGAACTATAATGCACATCCAAGGCATGTTTTAAAGGTAGGCAACCTTTTGTTTGAACATGCACATTTGAAAGGCCACGAACACAAGTTGTCCGAAAAGAAACATAACTGCATGGAAAGACGTCTTATTACAGACAAAACTGCCTACAGAAATCTCTACGCCATTTATTACTTTCTGGTCTAATCACAATTTCACCATACACCATCTTGTTGAATATGAAAGTCAACATGTCTAAACTTCATTAGAAGATAAAAATTCAATCAATATCTGTCCAAGCATAAGAGAAACAGCCCATAGCTGAGGCCCAGTCTCAATCCCGTACCCTTGCTCATGTCAAGCTGAGCCAAATATGAAATAACAGGGGGGCATCACTCGTGCGTGCGAGCTTTGGCCTAAACCTTCATTTTCTTAGGCATTTGGATGCCCTTAAGAGCCGAAACCAAAAACCAAAGTAAATGCTTATAAACCATTTTTAAATCCTTGCATTTTACGGAATGTAAACTATCCATCAAATTCTCACTTTCAAGCTCTCCATAAATAGGGTCACTAGAGCTTACTTTCTCATTCACCCGATTTTAGCACGTAAATATATGACAACCATCTACTCTCCAAGCAGATTGTATAACAACTTGGTCCTACTTTAAATTCCTTCCAGGGTCACAACACATTTTCCAACAAACACATTTACTTGAAGGGTTGAAAAATTAGGCCATGTATATTATGAGAGAGGTTTGAGGTTCGACTCTCTCAACTAGCAAAACTAGCATCTTGCCAGATGAAACAGCAACTAACTTCATGTTTGTGCCACTAATCAACCCCTATGGTGAAAAAAGACAGCATTGTCGAGCAGACAAATGAGCCAAAATAAAACAATAAATCTATTCCTCCCTAAAAATCTTTGGACAACATCATCCAGCTCAATTTTCTTCCAAAAGACGAAAGTTAGTAATAGAATGAAACAGGGCATAAGACAGCCTTGGTTATATAAGAGAAAAATAAAAATGTAATCTTTAACCAAGCTTGATCCAGTCACTCCATTTCCATCTGTGTACATTACTACTTGCCCCTGAAAGAACCCAATGTGCTAGTCCACAAGGACAAAAGGAACTCTGGTCCACAAGAGTTGACTCATATTGGATGAATTAAGCACAGTCCTTGGGCCAGTTACCTCAATCATAAATAAAGCAATCCAAGAGATGAACAACAATGGAAAGAAATGGCAGAAAAGGATAGTCTCCACTGCAAAGTCCTCATAGAAACAAGCGAGAGCACCAAAACCTACCTTGAAGGTCACAATGGAAGGCATGTAGATACAAGTGAGACGTGAACTTTATATTATTTTTCACAGTTGTTTCAGCTGTCATAGACTTTGCTGCTTTATATCACTACAAACCTGAATAAGAACTTGACTCCATATCGTGGATTCTCTTAACAGAAATCGACATTTTTCTAACAATTTTTACGAAGACCTTTTGTACCCACATCACCTTTGCGAAGGAAACGCACACACACTTCTTCAGTTATCTGACATACCTGTACAACTTGCACGCCAAAACTAGATTTTGTCTCATAGAAATCATCATTTCCAACTCCTTTTATAGATGGTCCACACACGCAATAAGTTCGCTCCGGCCTGCAGATATGTGTCGGGGCCAATAAGTTGATAACATCATTAACAAAGTAAATATATGAAAATAGAGAACAAAAATCTCAAGATCAAGAGGGAGAAAATAACCTGGAATGATCCCAGCGACGTATTTTCAAGTCAGTACCCCCTGTTAAGAGATCTCCACCAGGTAACGGAAGCAATGCTCGGATACCAGGAAGACGTGCGGGAGGTTCATTCAGCTCATCAACCCTGTACTTGGAATTAATATTTCTCCTAGGATCTGATTTAGTATTTGTCTTACTGGATGGTCTGGCGAAGGCCCAAGGTGAATCAGAGGTTTCCACATCATTGTCATTGTTTGCTGCCCTTAATACCTGCGAACAAGAGACAAATGATGAAGCTCAATAACGCTAACTGTTCCTCCAAAGTTGTTGCGATGCTGTGATCTTGTACTATATCAAAGTGGATAGGGCTTTTGGGAAATGTATCTTTTACTTAGAAAATACCATTTGCACAGTTATCTTTGTGCCATGGTAATTTTTTTATGAACAATGCTAAATGTACACTCAAAGTTTGACATTGTTTTTGACACTCCCATCGTTTTCGAAAAAATTGTTGGCAGGAAAATGTGTGTTTTTTTTAAAACTGTTCAATGTACTGTCGCCAAGTGACATGATGTAAAAAAGAGCGTACATGTAGCATGATTGACTTTTATATGTGACACAATATTAATCCCATATTCAATTATGGTTTTACATTTTAAGTACAAATTTCCATCATCTTTACATCCTGAAACCATCAAATTGCATTGCACAGTAGACCTTTGCCACCAAAAGAACAAATTCCAACCAAAATGCAATTACTTATTTAATTTACAAGGTTTTTGTACAAGATCATTATGCTTGACCATATTTTAGCTGTCGGATTACGCATAACATGATTATCAATTTATGATGTCACTTTCTGGTTCAGATGCAAAAACATTATCTTTTTTGGAAGATAGTAGACAGATAACAACCATGTACCTGGTGACAGCTCCCATTTTCTGCATTCCAGAGAGAAACTTCATTACAACCTGCGGCAACATAAACCAGAGGTCTTGTCACAGCAGATAAAGATGCACTGGGAGGAGGAACAAAAAGACACAATTTCCCTATAGGGCAGGCAAAAGAATATTGCCATGAGTGGACAGGTATACAGAATCTCAGATCCCAAAGAGTAAGCACGCCTCTTGATGATCCAGACACAAACCAATTCCCACAAGGGTCTGCTACCAGTGAAGATACATATCCCTCCTCACGGAACACTTTTGTATTCCAAGCATTTGAACTTGTTCTTGTATCCCAGAGATGAATCCCACAATTTTGAGTGCTGTACAGAATCATTTTGCTAGCACCACCATCTGGAGAGTAGTTCAACAGGCTTAATACAGCGCCTTCTCCGATGCCACTTTTTTTTACATCAGCAATACCCGAGTATTTTTCAACAACATTGCCAAGTCCTCTGGATATGTGGTCAACAGAGAACATATGTATCGTCCCATCATTTGTTCCAACAACAACTTGAGTAGAACCTTGAAGAACAGTCACACATAGCGCTCGACTTCCCCCTAAGGAATACGTTAGCCGTGACCTAAATGAAATGTCTTTCTCCAGCTTCTTGGAATCCCAAACCTTAACAGTAGAATCTTCAGAAGCACTAACAAAAAAGCTATGGTCCATTGAAATGGAAACATCATTGACAGCAGACCGATGCTCTTGCAAGTGCGCCACCAGCACCCCACGAGGCCTCCACCCTGAATCAGGAATTGTTGATGACCATGCCAAAGATGACATTTCTGATCCCTCAGTGGCTGTGGAATCATCTTCCATTGCCAGGGAATGCCCTTTTGTACTGCCAGACAATCCCGTTTCACGAAACTTGCTGTTAATATAGGCTGTTTGATCAGTTTCTCTGTCTTCAACTTCATGCACAACTCTCCGCAATTGCATGGAGCCATTTCCAATGTAGATTGACCCTGAGACAAGCTTAGGAGCTGGGACCGAACTGGCTAAGCTAAATGATTTACTTTTAGGATCCATCCAAGGCAAGGATGAGGAACTCAAATTATATGGTGATGAAGAACCAGATGTTGTTGTAGCATTCCCAGTTGTTCGCTTGTTTTCAACTTTAAAGTAGTACAAAGGTATGCCTTCCGATGATTTATCAATTAAGCTATTCATGCAACTAACTTGTGGAGACATGAAACCAGACAATTGTAACTTTTCTGATGCAGCACGATCATGGGAGTCCATTGCACTAGAAGAATTTTGTATTAAGCTTCCCATTGATTTCAATTTACCCTCATTATCATCAGAATTGCTAAAATCCATTGGTTGCATAGAGCTACTAATAAATCTATGATCTTGACCATTATGTTGTCTTTCAGACCAGCTTTTCACTGAATCCAAGTCTCTAGCACTATTCTGGATAAAGTCTACAGTTTCCCATTGTTTGGACTGTGATGATGGATTGTACCAAATCTTTCTCTGTCTCTCCAGCATGTCTGAACTTCTGGCATTTTCTAAAACTTCATAGTACAGTTCTCTTGAGACTGGAGGCTTCAGACACAAAAGAAGAGCCTTTTCAGAGGCTAGAGAAGCGGGTTGTCTACGGAGAAAAGGACGTATAACTGGGGCAAGAAATACATAAGAATCCACTGCACCTAAGCTTTCACTGCTAGCAGAAATAAAGGTGACAGCCGACCTCCTTACCCATTGACTGGGATAACATAACAGCAGAAAAGAACGCTCAATCATCTCAAGCAGGATCCTCTTTCTCAGAAAACCACTTTTGCACAAAATAGCCAAGCAGTCCAATGCATTGACAACGACGGCCTCAGAGATATCATTTAATGCCTGCTCAATATAAGGGAAAAGATATTCCTCCACACTCCGTTGGCCCACAGAAAAGCAGACATAAATTATCTGTCCATAAAATACTGCTCTAAGTTGCTCATCACGATCATTCAGAAATGCAGGGAGGATGGGCAACAAAAAGTCGTTGCTTTGCCTGTGGCCAAAAAACCAACAAAGGTTCCCAATGTCCTGCAAGAGAGCTCTCCTGATATTTGGGGTTTGCTTTGGACCCATTACAAGTTCTTGAATGACCTCTGCAATAGATTTTCTCAGCTGTGCAAGTTGTACGTCACTATTCAGACTCTTAGGCTGCCCAGAAGTCTCACTGGCAGGTGTAAATGACTTCTGCAATAATTTTGTTTCATTAAGAACCCCTGCCTCAGTCAAGCTTATCGAGTGGATTAAGAACCCATAACCAGTCAGTGCCAGCTTAGATATATTGCTGGCATAACATATCCTCACACTTTCCTCAGGATCATCAGGAAGCATGGAAAGCATCGGAAGAATATACTCTGGAAAAATTTTGGCATCACTGGGAGGAAAATCTCTAACTAGAGGAAGAATGTCACATAAAGTCTCTAAGGCAGCGCATCGAACAATAGCAGCTGGATCTGAGAGCATTGCTACAACATATGGAAGGATCCGCTGTAAACGGGCTTCATCATCAATATACAAGGAGCAAGACTTCAATAGAAGTATAGCACCCCTCCTCATAAAAGGCAACTTGACATTTCGTATGCAGGAGCAGAGAAGTGAAGCGATCAGAACCATACCCTCACAGCTTATAACATCCTGAGGTAAGGGTAAAAAAGGCATTCCAAAAGTATCTGATTGATTATCCTGATCCAACATCAATGAGCTCAAATCAGTCATTGTGATTTTCTTCAGGAAGGGATGATGACTTCTCTTGAACACATTGGAGATCATCTGAATTAGTTCACCAGGAGATTGCATGCCACTTTGCTTTTGATTTTCAGAATATCTTGGATTGGCTACATTACTTGGTGTTGTCTTCGAACAGAAATTATTTCGTTTTACATCTCTGAGCAGGGTACTGACATCACCAAGAAGATCGAATCGATCATGAACAGAGCCCTTCTCTATCTCCTCTGTTTTGCTCGAAGACTGATTGAAATGTTGACTTGCATCCCTCCCAGGAAGTAATTGACTTGCATTTTCTGAAGACGGTTCCAGTCCACAACCAATCTCCTCGCTTGCCGTGTTGCCCATCAGTTGTTTCAGTATTTCTTGGAAAGAGGTTTGGCATAGCAGTACCTACAGGAGTCATTAGAGAATTAAAAACAACTATTGGAGTGAAATAAAAAACACACGGAGAGAACTCCCATGAGTTCCTTACCCTTGCATCAGAATTTAAAGGGTTCAACACGGAATAGAAGTTATGAAGAAACGGCGAGAAGTAACTTGGGAACACAACATATGCGAAGGTTTGCAGGTAGCTTTCAGCAGAGCATCGTGTCTCTGGATCCAATTGAATCATATGCAAAATCATCTTACGGATTCCTGAATCTGGAATCTGCACTCATGCAGTCTGATAAATCAATCACTTGGTATTCAGGTGAATCTAAAAGCTTGAGAGAATATTTAAATCTAAGGAACACTAGACAAAACTATTCTGAGGACACCTTTTCTAAGTAAAAAAAAACATATGGTTCATGAAAAACAAACCTTTTCCAGATGTTGGCTAGGATCATATTGTCCTCTTCGATATGCAAGCAGTTGAGAGAGTTCAAACAAAGGCTGGCCTTCAAGAAAAAGCTCAGCAATCACACACCTGATAAAAAATATTGTAAAAATCAGGTATCTGAATGCATAATGCATGAAACACCATAAAATATAATTTCTTGTGTATGAACTAAACTCATTTTTACATGTCAGCTATCCAAGGTCCATGTTAGAATATTCAGTCTGTGAAATTGACTGTGGTTAAGGAGGGTAAATTACCCTACCCCGCCCCGGTTAGACGAAGATTGTGAACTGGTCCTGCCCCCAACTACTTTAATTTATTATATTCTTATTTTATGCTTTACAATTAAATTGTATTTAAAATATTAAAAAACTTAATATATAAGTTAACAGGACGGTAAACGAGGATTTTTTAATCCACACCATCCCGACCCCACTCCAGCTCGTACAAATCCCCGTTGACGCCGACAGGGCAGGGAGGGCTGCACCCTGTTGCCTTCCCAAATGGCTGTGAACAAAACGATCAGATTTGTAAGCAAATCAAAGTGGGTGACTTTTTTTTTTTTTTTTTTGAAAGGTAAAAGATGGGTGACTTGATTTCACCAATTTTAAGATGAATGTCCCAATCTGCAAGAAAATGAAAGTAAAGTAACCTAATGGCACCAAATTGAAGATGAGTGACCTAGATGCAACTCCGATGAAAGTTGGATGACCCGCAATGTATTTAATCCTAGGAAAATAACTTAATTATCTTTCTGCTGATTTTCTTGTTTTTGGTAATAATATTCAAGGATTATATACATGATATACCGACAGCTGTGTGAGTGTTAGTTTTTCATGATGGTTAAAAAACATGATCTTACATTCTATAAATCATTATTATTTGTTAATTGAATGACTTATTGTAATGAAATATATATTATTTAGTAATTGCAAGCTTATAGCTAAGTTTTACTCCTAGATATTCCGACACTTTACATAGGACAAGATCTTATCAAGAAAATAGATTTAAAGGGTTTGTTTGAGCCCCATTTTTTATTTTTGTTGGAGAATATGGATTTTAAAATAGTAATTTCTTTTAAGAATGTGTCATTAAAAGTAGGGAAAAAATTTTGGTTTATGTGTAAAATTGTTTATTAGGAGAATGTTTAATTGAAAATGAATTTGGGGAAAATGAGTTTTTAAAGAATGGGGATCAAACACTGGTTAAATCCAATATATTGTATTAAATATTGGATTATGTAATATTTTTTCATTGATTCTTGTCTAAGTAGGAAAGACTTGACCCTCAGTAGAAGAGGAACTATAACCAAAGAGTTTCTTGAAGACCTTATTATTTCACCCATACCCAACGGGGATTTTGATGCAAAGAAATTATGGAAAATATGATTAGCACAACTGACATTCCTTTATCCGCCAGCATAAGAAGGATTTGGGCATCAAATATTTGTGGAATCGCTAAAAATACTAAATAATTGAAAGAATTGGGAAACTCTTTATAATATTTATTGCATAAACAACCAATTAAAAATCTACAAGCTATAGTGTTTAAATAGAAAAACATCGCAGGAAAAAACCCTGAACTTACGAAAGACATAATTACCCTGAATAACTTGTGCAAGAAATAATAATGTATATAAAACTAAGAAAACAATTAAATAAATAGTGAAAGTCCTACTTCATCATTCTCCTAAGATTGGAGAAGAATCGTCCTCGAATTTTATGTTGTCTTGACCAAATACCTTGTAAGAATAGTAATTATCCAATAAGTACAAGAAAAATATCAATAAACTCGTCCATGTGCGAGCCTGTCAATGCTATATATACGTTGTTTGTTTGAACAAATTCTTGGCACGTCCAAAACTCCCCCTCTACTTCATTGATAAATCACTCCATCAGGGTCCAACAAGTAGATTTTGCACCCCAATTACATCCAGTAGTATACGTATTATTGCATGGTCCGTAATCTCAAATGTTTTCCCCAAAACCAAGTAATTGTACTGAGCAATTTCCTTTTCAAGTTCACAAAGATCCCATTAAAATAATTACAGTTTCCATAACTAAGTGCATGCTAACCATATGTGCTCCCATCATAATTTCTTGAATTTTCATCAACGAAAACTCTCCCCCTCAAACATGCGCCATCACCACTATTCAAGCAATTAAGGCCCTTATTTAGCAAAGAGTTAATGTTATCAAAGCCGTTCCCTAAAGTCACAGTAGTCATTTGTCCTACATCCACAATGGCAGCGACTTTTCTATACTGCAATTATTTGGCCCTTTAGAAACTGCCTTCAAGCATGCTTTGTGACTTTACTGCACCATCCTCGGTTCTTGTTCTACCAGCCACCAGATCATAAAATTTACAAATCTGATTTTCCATGTCCACTGTGTTTACATTTTCCTCTTTTCACTTCTCTGATACATGTTCGTTAACCTCAACGTCAAAAAAAGACAAACTATGGTAATTATGAATAACAGGAAAAAAGTTCATTGTCATTGGAGTCCTCCATCCCTGATTCCACAACCAGTGCTCCCTCACATCATCGTAATAGCCAATTGATCCATTGTGCCATCGGGAAGTCATGTCAACGTAGTTGTGCAAACTCATTGGGACGCATGATTTCTCCATCAAGGTTTCGTGATCAACTCATCTCTATAAAGAACATGACTATACTCTAATACCAAAACGGATATAGCGGAATTATGTAGAATATGATTAGCACTCCAAAATACTAATTGATACACAAAAGCACTATGGACTTGGGCATCAGATATTCAATGATTTGCTAAACATACCGCTGTAAGAATTGAGAAACTATGAATAGAAAAATCAAAGTCCTAAACATGCAAATAACATAATTACCCTGAATAACTTAAACGTGCAAGAAATAATATAAAGATAAAATTAAGAAAACAATTAAATAAATAGTGTAAGTCTGGCTTCATCACTCTTGTTGCATTTTGCCTCAACAAACAAACGAGATACGATAATGATTCACCAATATTCAATCACATTAATAACGAAACATTTAGAATTTTCTTCCAAGATAATCACTCTATTCAGGAATATGCTCACCCTACAGCAAAGATGTCCATAGAGGGCTTTAAAGGTGCATCTTGTGTAACATGAGTCTCACCTCCATGCTCATAAAACCTCTGAAAATGAAAGAAAATAAAGCTGGTCAATAGCTGCAAATTTGCAGCATACTTTTACTTTTAAAAAGAAAAGATAATTACATTGAAATTGTTACTTCGAAAGTAGAAGTCAATATTCCAATAACAGCTGGTTAGTGCTTAAAATGTTTAACTGTAGTTTCCACAAGCGTAAACATGGTGCTAAAAGTAATTTAACTCAATATTTCTCTTTGATTAATAAAATAAGCAATCTCATTTACCTACTTCAGTGTAACTTAAAGGGCATTAATAAGGGGTTCTGATGAATACATTATATATGTGGACTGAACGTGGAAAGATGCATATAGTAGTGAAAGCAATAAGAGACTTGAAATAATTAATCCAGAGAAGTTTTTGTACAATGATGAAAGATTGCTTCTATATAGTTTATAGCCTAAACTGGCCCTTAACTAAGTCCACATCAGCTAAATTAACGTAAGGGAACTAGGGAGAACGCAAAAGAAAATTAAGAGGGTTAGGCAATGGCACGATTATACATCTCAGAAGAGAGAATGAAGGAGACGGGTCTTACATTTTCTTCAGCTCTATGTTAATGAGTATTATGCTGTTAAAGGACAAAATGTCCTGAACATAGCAAAAATGAAGATGACAAAATGGATGTGTGGTGCATAATGGATAAGATAAGGAATGAAAATATATGACATCAAGTAGAGGTGGAATCGATTAATGATGAATTAGCAGCAAGACAACTTGGGCGATTGAGACATGCCTTGTCTAAACCTAAAGAAACTAATGTTTCATAAGATAAAATAATCTCACGTGTTTGAATATGGAGTAATACAGCAAAACTAACAGATTTTGTTGTGATTGCTAAAGATCCAATTACTATGAAGCTTCCACTATATGTAACAATGAACTTACAGAAAGGCGAAGATCAATTTGTGCAGCCAACCTCAATTATATAGAATAAGACTTAGTTTATTGTTAGTGTTGTGCTTGCATATTTTTCAGAGCCCAAATATGTCCCTAAAAGTAGTACACCTCACATCTTTTTAAGCTTCAATTCTTTACCCATCAAATTGATTTTTTAACCCCTCAAAATCATACTCCTCATCTTTTGTGCCACAAAAACTGAAGAAAATCAGTTGCAAGAATCTTATTTGTTTTGCTAGCCATAACTGAATTTGAGATCAATTATTATTAAAAGTGACTTCATACTCCTCCTATATCAGATATCCATCAAATTTATATATTTAATGGTACTTTGTAACTGTATTTTAAGAAGTGAATTACTAGGACACGAATACTAGTTATTAGGCAGTAAAATTGCAACTCTACAAACTTAAGTGAAAAGGAGACTTTTTAGCCCAAAAGGGACCTCAGAAAAGAAAGGAAAGCTGTAATTTCACATTGATATAAAAAATGAACTGGATGTTTTATAGCATCGGCATTTCTAATATTTATCTCTATAAAGATGTTAGGTGTAATGGATATCCAACAGGTGACTCCTTCAGAGTTCAGAATACACCAAGATGATAAATCTCAATTCTCGCATTAATAAAGCCTAATAAAAGAATATAAGATACCGCTTTTCAACTAGCAAAGATTATGCAATTCTCTTGTTGACCAAAGCACACTTTCGGACAAAAAGGTTGACAACAATCAATGCTAAAAGGAATCTATTTCATCTTAAGAGGATGAAGGTTAAAGCAATTCTACAAAATGGAAAAGAAAGATCATCGATCTCAAAAGACCAATGAAGATCCAGGTATCCAACATGCAATGCAAGTCACTATGTCTACATGCGAATTTAATCGCTAAAAAGATCACCACAAGAATCTGAGTCTTTCCTTAGTAGCATCAACTCCTTAAAATTTTGTCACGAGTGTTATCCACATTCAAACATTAGCAAAGGCCTGCTACAGGTATCAACTGTATTTACAGTGATTTCAAGTATAAGTTAAATTAAGCCCTGCTACCCGTAATCAAGTAGGAAACTTGACTAACAGAAAACAAACCTCAGGGGCAAGATAACAACGTCTTCTTCCACCAGTGTCAAAGAAAAACGAAAAATCAGACGGGTCATCATGTGGAATATATGTCGGTTTGAATGAGGCAAAGTCAGCGAGATAAAGCCAATTCCAGGAAGTGACCAGCACATTCTCACATTTAATATCACCTGTAACAATTTTTATGTTTTTTTCTCAAGGAAATTGAATATAAGAAACCTTATAACTATGCAGAAACTTATTTTGTGTATAAATTATCTAACCGTGACACACTCCATTCTCATGGCTCTGCTTCACTGCATAAAGCAACTGCAATACCAAGATTTAGTGAGATGCCAATTCCTACCCACCAACAAATGGGGAACAAAAAGAGGAAGAGAAGAACCTGAAAAGCCAGCCACTTCTTTTCTACATGACTAAGAAAGGGTCGAGTACTCAATCGATCATGAAGATTATTGAAAAAATATTGCCTCAACAAATAAGCAGCTTTATCAGTTTCAAGCCAGAACTGCAAAATGTATTAAGAGTCAACATTTATAGCAATTTATGATTGTGCTCACATATTCTAGAATATAAATCTTCGATCCCAGCTATTGTACACCAGTGAACTCTCTACTTCTAAAGCTAGGACTCTGATTAACTTATAGTTATTGGTAATATCTTATTTTTCACTTCCAGATGGTATGCATATTCTGCAATGTATCTACAATTACAATAAAACAAAGGGAGCGAATGAAAATTGAGCATATTCATGAATTGATTAAGAAAGCACCAATTGGAGATAAGCAGCTGAAGAACCGGTTAAGAGGGTTAGGGCGCATTTAACGAAGGCCGATAAATGAACTGGTAAGGAAATGTGACAGGGCAGTATTAATAATAAACAATAGAAGAGGAATCCAATCTAAATTACATAGAATGAGGAAATTAAAAAGGATTTGAGCATTTGCAGTTTAACCGTGGAAATTGCCCGTGATAGGTGGGCCGAAAAATGAAGATTTCAGTGCCTAACCCTAAATAAATATAGGATAAAACTTTGTTCAGTTGAGTTGAGAATATATGATCCCCCAGTGCCAAAATTCTTTTTAAGTTAAATTTGTTTTAAACATAAAGCAGAGAATTGTCATATACTGAAAATCAACTGTAACTTACTCAAGATTGCAGTCTGTACAATTTCTGAACAATTTTATGCTTGATACACCAAATAAACCCACTGACATTCTTTATTATAAACAACCCAATCCATATAAAAACAATCATTGTAAACAAAGTTGGTTTACCCATTACAATTTTTAACCTAATACTCCAAAACACAATATGTGCTGGTCCAGTAATGTTCCTTTCTGGTTCAAATTGTGTGTAGGTTACCTATATTTAGCATTAAATTCCTCCTTTCAATCACAAAAAAGTATTCCCCACCAAAGTTTTAACAGCTGTTCCTTTACCCTTCTCTCTCTTCTCACGACTTTGATTACCAAAAATGAAAATTTTTATAAGGTTTAATTACTATAAAAGCAATTAAAACCACCATAGTGGATTCCAATAAAGTCTCACAGACAAATTAGCTTAATCTATAGGGACGATGTGATGCTTGCTTATAGTTTAGCATCGCATTCCTCTGCGTACTAACAAATGAAGTTATAACTTATAACAAAACTAGCCCAAAACTTAATCCAACCGTCTCCCTCTCCACACACACACCACCTAAACAGCCAAACTAAATTTTAACAAGCATAATTACCATTATAGATTGATAAACCTTCTCGAAAATAACATTTAAAGAATATGAAAGTCAGCACATATTAGCGAGATAAAATTAACTAGTCCAGTCCACAATACTAAGATAATGCCTCCTCCCTAAACACTTTAGCAATAATATTCTTCATAATAATACCAATAAAGACCACCCACACACAAATATTCATTCTCCCACCATTTTTACCAAGCAATTATAAACTGTATCCACAGTCAATGTAAAGTAACTTTCTCCAATCCTTGAATTAGTTACAGAAGGAAAAGCAAAATGAAAGAAATAGGTGGCGATGAGAACCTGGAATGGCCAGACATGTGGGTGATCGAGGTTAGAGAATTTATCACGAATTTCAGCAAGGCGACGCTCGTATTCCCTCAAAACAATGGAGTCACCCCTCTTGAAGTAAACCTTGACCAGCACCAGCCCCTCGTCGTGCTTGCACAGTATCGATTTCAAAAACCTGCCCCTACCCAGCACTTCCTTCAACACCAAATTGTAGGATGATGGCAAATCGTGCAAATAGTACTCAGTCGCCGAAGCCTGGGTCGTTCGCGCGATCTTGTTACCCATTATTCCTTATTAAGCAAAAGAGAAACCTTTCGGTATTTGTTTCAATGGGCAAAATATTGTGCTGTGTGGAATATTGGAATATTTTAAAATTTTCTACATTCTTTGTTTATGATCTTGAGAAATTGGGACGGGGGATCAATGGCCGTCGAATGGAATTCAGCCTGTTTGACACACTTTCTCCTGTAATATATTATTTCAAAATTAATTTTCAACTCCCCATTTTTTAATAAATTAATATTTTTCACAACCTCAATTACTTTTTAACCACAAATTTTTCATCATATCACTATTTAAAATACATTATTTTCTTAATAACATTCATCAAAGGATATTTAAATTTAGCCCTATTAAAATTAACAATTATTTTTAATTTATTGTTTTATGAAATTTATAATTTTCAAATTACATATTTTATTATTTTTAGCAAAATCAAGAACTTAAGAAGTATGTGTAAAAGAATTTATAGAAGTCTTGATCATTGATTTATATTAACTTTTTAAAAGTTCTTTAAAATATTGGGATAATCAAGATTTTTTTTTACAAATCTTAAAAAATTACCATACTCAAATGTCAATGATTTTTATAAAATCATTCAAGTATTAACATTTAGGTAAAAATTAAAATACAAAATCAAATAAAAAGTCTTTCATCCAAAATGTATTTTCATTTGTAGTACTTTTTTATTTCTTCAATATTACTCTTTTCTCTTTATTTTAACACATCATCATCATCATCATCATCATCATCATCATCATTCTCTTTTAATAATCTCCTCCCCCCTCTTAATAAAATATATATTTGTAAATAAAATATAAGATTTTTCACTCTCTTTTTTCGTGATTTCCTTCGAATCTTTCGAGTTAAATGTTTGAACTGTCACTAGACTTTGCACTTCATCACTCAAACTTCAGAAAGCTTCCCAATGGCCATTGGCCATCGAACCTGATTCTGTTGCACTCCACCAATCACTGGATGGATTCCGCGTCTAGTTTTGCCTATGTGGAAGACGGAAAAACTACGTAACTGTTAATTTTGTCTAGATGTTAAATCAAATGCACACAAAGAATTCCAGTTCAGCCAACACAACTTAATAATTAAACTCAAAATCGAACCCTAAAACTACATTTTGGGGCAAAGTCTGAAATCACTCAAGAAGGAGGCTCCCAAGCCCAAAATCGTTTCTAACCTTAACCCCCAAATTCATTCTAAGACATCGACGGCACCCCAAAATCTGTCGAACGAGAACATTTTTTTTAATTGAATTGGAGAAGGCGTGAACATTGAGGGAGCAAATGAAAGTAATTTTGATACAATTTTTTATTTTTTGTGCGTCGTGTCATTATGTAATGCGCATTAGGAATTAGCATGGTTGTTTCTGCATAGAGCAATGCCTAGGAAGAAAACTGAAATGGACTGGTCGAGTTTGGTTATTTACAAGTTCTGAGGTTTGAAGAATGAGGTAGAAGAGGTGCCCATTAAGTTCATTATAGCAATGCCAGTAAGGTTTTTGGTTCAGTAAAACATGTTCTGCATTTCGCCATCTTGGGACCAAACTGGAATTGTTGTTTCACTTTGGGACAGGTCCAATTAAACTGAGAACGAGTTACCTGCATTTGAGGGTTCAATTCAAGATATCGAAATCTTTAGATTCAAGTATTTGCAAGGCCAAATGCTCAAGGCAAAGGTTCTTGAGAATCTCACAACTGAGACAAATAAAGATAAGTGCCTGTTCCTGTAAGACGTAAATACCACAAATCAAAAACTTTATGCCGATTAAGAATCAAACACTCCTACCAGTCCTTCCAAAAGGCATGCAGAATGCAAAAAGCATTTCCATGTACCAAATACACTTAAAAGAAGGCCATAATGAGCTTTGATGCATCAGCAATACTTTCTTTCAACCAGCTTCAAGCAAATGTTCCTGCAAGGGAATTCTCATTTGCTTCAGTTTTATTTTTGTCTGGGGGAATGAATAAAACCAGATACTCAGACCAAGTCACTGCATACAAAGCAACAAAGATTAATAAAAACCTTCTGCCATTAACACACAATTCTGGAAAAATGACGTGCAAACAGTTATAACTCAACACAAATCAAAACAAGAAGCAAAAAGAACAAAAGGAAACTACCAATGTGCGTATAGCAGACAAACTAACTGAACTGATACTATGTCCCATAGCCTTGGTGCCACGGTCGATGACGTATATGGATTTTCAAGAGTAACTCATTCGTTCATCCATTAGACCAATTTCATTAAGACCTAATTCCAATTTATCTCCCGAGGTGCCAAACGTCTTTGAAATCATCTCCTTCTGAGAAAAAATTTCTGCCAACAGATTCATTACACTGCAACATGATAGAGACACATCAAGAAATATTCAAAAAAATATCTTTAGGATGCATAAAATTATACGGTCGTGCTACTCGTACAAAGGGCCTTGACAAAGGGGATTTACACAGTGACGTGTCACTTGTTTAAAAAAATAAAAAATCCCAAAAAATTGAAAATCCCTCTCTCCCATTTTTCCCCCAAATCGAACTCTTCTCTCTCTCTCTCATGAACTCCAGTTTCTTCCACATTCTTTCACCCCCAAATTGATTCACTCTCTCTTCAAGCCCATCACCTCCCAACGCAAACGGGTTCGACGATAGCAAAATGAAAGCGTCGACACCTTTCGCACACCCGGCGTCATCCACGTCTCGAGGAATCATTCCTACTGTAGCAGTGTAATCGATTACTTTCGGCAAAACAAAAACTCATTTTATAGAGTTCGTAAATTATTATTTTCAAAACTGAATTCAATGATGCGGCATCCACATAGCATTAAAAATAGTTGCTGGGTTTCGATCATTTGTGCAAAGCTTCTCTATTACATATCTCCACATTAAAAGATACAATGAATTTAATTTCACAACAAATAAAATGATACAAGTAATATAGTCATCCCAGAAATCTGCTCAAAACCAAAAACCCGTCAACTGTGATACCACGTGTGGCAAAAGTCGAAGTGGAGGTGCAAGTTGGAACACTTACGCAAGTTTTCTTCGACATTGCTAGATTTCCCCATTTTGTGCGAGTCGGAGCAAGTGGAGGTCTTCAAAAACCAAAAAAAATGTAAACTTAAAATGTAAACGGAAATCTGCTAAAACCAAAAACACTGCTCAAAACCAAAAAAAAATGTAAACTTACGCGAAGTGGAAGTCTTCTAAAACCAAATAAATGTAAACTTAACGACGAAGACGACCCGGAGCAAGTTTCCCCCTTTTCTGTGAAAGGAGTTTTCGCACCAGGAGGGTTAATGATGAAGTTTCATGGCATCAAAATTCTGGAATAAGTTTCGTAGGATGCAGCTTCATTTTGGAAGATTGGATAATTTGGGATGTATTCTCTCCCCTGGTTTTGGCGCCATTCTTGCAGTGGTAGTGGGTTTTCTTTTTAGCAGTGGTAGCTTTTTTTGTCTTTAAATCACAGCCGTTCATGCACTTTTCATCTCAGCCGTCCATGTCATTTTGTCATTTGACTTTGTCAAGCTCCTTTGTATAAGAAGCATTATTCTAACCCAATAAATAGTTTTGGTTCAAGATTGATCAATTGATTTTGATTCTTTTATGACCCTTAATTAGTAATGTTAACGAGTCGAATTAAGCTGGTTCACGAGTCGAAATTCGAAACTCGGACTTGGCCTAAATAAAAATTGTTCGAACTTTTTTTTGTCTGAGTCGAATCGGCTCGTATTTTTTATTATTGTTATATATTTTTTTACAAAAGTAGCTAATCAGTTGCCATTGCAAGCAATTGCGCAGCTGCCTGCTGCAAAGTGTTGCATGCAGCTATTGTAGCTGCCAAAGCTTTTTTTATTTTTTATAAATTTGCTCACGGGCAAGCTCATACTTGAGCCGACGCTCTAAAATGGGGCTTAGCCCAAGCCTTGACTCGATTTTACCGAGCTGCGAGTCAGGCTAAGCCACAGGTCACCTAAATCTGTGAGTCAAATTAGCACCCCCTACCCATAATGGAAATGGATAAAAGATTCATGAGTGTCCACTAAAATTTACTTACATTATAGGGAATGAAACGTCCTCCATGTTACAAAGTTAAAGTTAGGAGTGGACAAAAAAATAAAACTCAACGAAATTGAATTCGAACCAACATGTTCAAATTGATTCTTAAATTTTAAACGGTTGTACATGACAACAGCTGACAACATCAAAGTTAATTGCAGTTAAAGTACCTTTTACTCGATAGTGATAATTTCACATAATGTTCTTTTATTGGACCTTATTTAGTGTATGTACGCATTACATTGCACCCCCGTGTGTGGGGGTCACTTTGATTTTGTTGAGCTCTCCAAATTAGAGAAATGATCACCATATGACACACTCAACGAACGCCTCCCCTCTCAACATCCTTCAAAATTCGATTTTGGAACATTCCATATCCACCATTGGCGGAGATGGGGTGGGCTGTTGCCTACCCTTGCCCAAGCCCATCTTCTGTTAAAAAAAAATGAATTGGTTAAAACCCTTTTCTTTCCACCATCCAACCGAATAGCCCCCCGTACCCTTCATTCCTAGCTCCGCCCCTTTCCACCACAAATTCTTTGGTATACACATTTCACCTATATTGTTAATTTGACAAATTTGTCAATGAACTATTGTACTGGAATAATATAATAAAGTGATTTATCTATCATGACAAAACAATACATCTCAAGATCTATGTTGTATTGGTGAAATTGAGAGGATTGTGCACAGGCAAAGACAATAGGAATGCAAAAACTTTAATTAAATGCTCTCAAAATGTTTCATCGTGTGGAGTTTGTTGACCTATGGTTGATTTCATCTTCAATGTTTTGATCATAACAAACAAGATTAATATTTTTTCTAACAATTGATTTTGAGTGATGATATTTCAATGTTAAAATCAACCAAACATTGTCAAATCAACACATTATAAAAATTGGACTCGAAATGAAGATCAAAGTGAAAATTAAGCTTTC